ATTCTCAGTTTCCTGGCCAGTGCACTCAGCACTAGAGAACTCCTGCAACTGAGCATCCCAGTTTGCTGGGTTCCTGACTATGATACCCCACAGCTTTGGTAGGTTTCGGTGGTTTCAAATAGTTGTACTTTTTGCTTGCCCCTGCTATTTTTGGCAAAGGGTTGGTTTGATACAATTTATAATCACCATCACAATTTTTAAAATTTAATATACACCCTACTCATGTTTTATAAAAATATCTAGAACTGAAGACATCCCAGTAGCAAGAAACATCATGTGCACCCAAACTTTGAGTTCTAAACAGCACTGTCATTATAAGAAAAATAGTAGATTTAGGGTTCTAAAATGGGAATATACAAATTACACCAACATAAATACTGAGCTAGAAAACAAGGAAGCACTCAAGGACCATTAAGATTATATTAAAAGGAGACAGAAACTGTTTAGCAGCACTGACCAAACTTGTATTTCAGCATCACACAAAATAATGGTGAAAAGTGACTGTGGACATACAAAACATATCAAATTCTACTAGACTGAAATGGCACTGGAGAGAAAAGCATTTCTCATTTCTGGAAACCATTATGCCAAGCAGCACTTCGGCATTTTTTTCGCCTTGTTAGCAGAAAGTGTATGTCCAAGTAACCAAGCATGCCTAAGTAACAACAGGAAGATCTTTTTTGAAGACTGTCAGCTAAAAACTAAGAAAGGAATGATAAAATCAGAAACGAAATCACCAATCAGAAAACCATCACCCAGGGAAATGCAGAGACTGATGCCATCAACCAAAGACCATACATACAGAGGACCTAGACCCCGCTCAGATACAGCCCAGGGACTGTTCAGTCTCCATGTGGGTTCCCTAGTTAGGAGAGAAGAGACAGTCTCTGACATCAACTCGGTTTCCTATTCCTTGGTCACTTCTCCCTGGTGGGGTAACCTAGCCAGCCCACAGAGGAACAGCAACCAGGTAGTCCTGATGGGACCTGATAGGCTAGGATCAGAGAGTAGGGGAGGAGGACCTCCCCTATCAGTGGATTAGGGTAGGAGAGAGGAAGTGGGAGGGATGGGGGACTAGGAGATGGGATACAAACTGGGATACAAAGCAAATAAACTGTAAATAATAATGAAAAAAGCCAGTTGATTCAGAAAAGAGGTACAAATAGATGCTACAGCATTTAAGAGAAAGGGTTAATGAGAAACTGCACAGCCAATTCATATAGCTCCAAGGTAGCACCCCTCATGTTACTTTCTATTGCTTAGAAAAATATTCCTTAGACCAATCAAATTGATTATCAGAGCAAAGCAAAACAAAACAAAACAATAGTCACAAATCAGGCAACTCCCAGAACCAGATGAAGTTCTGAGAAATCCAACCAATATAATCAGATAGCATTTACAGAAAAATGGAGGAGACAGAAACGGAGACAGGCACTACAGCTTCATTAGCTACTCAACTGGTTACCACTTCACCAGTTAATTGACTGCAGCACCCTTTACAATTAATCAAACTGTGGTTAAATTATTGGCTTGGTAGACTATAATTTAAGAAAATGAGTCCAATTCAGATGCTCAATCCAACTCCATGGCCTCCCACCAAATCTGATTGACCAGCAGAAGGAAAACTATAGCATGGACATCTGGCTGACATGGCCTTAAGCAGGCGACCAAAGTTACAAGCAGCATGATTTTTTAAAATAATTTATTTAATTTTATTTTATGTGCATTTCAGACCACCTGGAACCGCTCATGGGAAGTTGTGAGCTGCCACGTGGGTGCTGGGAGTTGAACCCGGGTCCCTTGGAAGAGCACACAGTGCTCTTAAGCACTGAGCCATCTCTCCAGCCCATAAGCAACATTATTGAGACAAGCAGCCAAATATAGTGGTACACACCTGTGATGCCAGCTCTTACGAGGACCAGCAGTTCTAAGCCAGTCTGAGTTAGATGATGTCTTACGTTTGCTTTCTGTGGCTGTGATAAACATGATGACCAGAAGCAACTTGGGGAGGAAAAAGGTCTATTCCAGCTTCCAGCTGTAGAGCATCATGACAAGTCAAGGAACCTGGAGGCAAGAACTGAAACAAAGGCCATGGAGGACCATCCAGGACTATCTGTCTAGGGGTGGCACAGCCCAGAGAGCTAGGCCTTCCCTCACTACAATATCCCAGCCTTGCCTGCGACAATTCCCCAATTGTAATTCCCTCCACCTAGATATGTCTAGGTGTCAACTTGTGTGAAGTTGACAAAAACCATCCAGCACACACAGCAAGACCCTGTCTACAAACAAAATGAAACTCTTACTATATGCCTTCTGGTGTAATGTGCTAAAAATATTACTCTTTTCTATCATATAATATAAAATTTGTGTTTAGGACAAAGAATTCAAATATTTTCATCTTTCCTACCTTGTAAGGCTTTTATACAAATGTTTCAAACCCCCAGCCCAAAACCTTTGTTTATACAAAGGCTTCCTGATGCATTCCAGGACATAGATGGAGCAGTGAAATCCTTCCCCTTCTTCTTTTATTTCTTGTGAGGCAATTCATTTCAGACTAGCCCACTGAGTAACAGTGTGAGGCCAGAGCCCAGCCAATGTGGAAACGACTTTGATATTTATTTTGTTAATTTTACCAAATGAAACCAAGCTGTACTATTTGAGCCAACTATGAAAATTGTAAGTTTTATAAAATAATAAACTTTTATATGGTTTAAAAATCAAGAAAATGTCTGGTTAAATCAAAAGAATGGAGCTGAGAAAAACCTATCCTAAAGGTATAAAGAATGTTATAAGAGATATAAACTGTAGTTGCTTTTTTTTTTTTTAACACCTGAAAGCATGATTTGAGAGGCTGATGTTTTTTCAATGCAAAATGTTTTCTTATGCTCTTTAGACCAGGTTTATACAGGGTTATATTCAAGTCATTGTTAATTATTATAAAAATATATGCCTGGTTGCCAGCTCCGATATAAATGATTTAATGCTGTTTATTTCTGGCCGATAGGCTTGAAATGGCCAGAATTGTCCATCTCTGCTAAAACCTTAGCAGTTGTGTTTAGTTCTCCATTTAGTGCTAAATGAAACTTTTGTCCTTTATGCTTTTTTGTTGTTCAGTCTTACTGCAATATGATAGGATGAGCAAGATCTGCTGGCCCTTCTATGTATTGTATCTGATTTAAAGTTTTGCTTTGATTTTAGTTCAGAAAGGTATTTAAAGTTATGCTAATGATTGCAATTAGTTATAAGAATGGATTTTGTCTGGTCTTTTGTTTATGTTTTTAAAATTAAGCCTAGAATGGGTAATTATGAAGTTTACCTACATAGATCTACTTGAGATAGATATGGGTTTAAAACATTTATTTAAGGAACATGCCAGAATTAGAGATTATGATATTCTATTTCATAGGATGCAATTTAAAATAGATAATTAAAAGAGAGATGAAAAATAATTCAGATATGCCAGCCCTCAAGCTTATCAGAGATCTGAAGAATATGGTGTTTTAACATGTGTAAGCTTGTTATGACAGAGAGTCCAAAATCCTGGCAGTAGCTCCCCAAGGTCTCCAAGAAGATTTGGGCACAATGCAACTCTGGATTATGGTATGCTAACCATTGGGCAAGACTGCCCCAACTGGTCCACTGCTAGGGCTCAGCTTAAACTGTAGAAACCTGGAGAGTCAATGTTTCACATTGCTAAGGGTGAGGTGAGGCTATTCTCTCGTTTCTTTCTCCAGAGAAACAATCTCTCATCTTCTGTGCCTTCTTCTTCTGGTCACTGGCCCACCCTGCTCATGATGCCATAAGACCACAGGAGCCAGGGACAGCTGCCTACAGTGATAGACTGACTTGTTGTCACTGTCATTTTGATTGGTACATATTTATCCTTCTCAGGTCTCTGATTACATTGATGGCTAAGCTAAGCTAATGGTAGCCTTGCAGCTAAAGAGCAGATAGTTAGATCCATTGTTACTTTATTGGTTAATTTATTAGTTAGTTAAAATTACCAGGTACTAGGTCTTCTATTTAAAAAAGGCAAGCAGGTTTGCCTTGCCTACAGGCTTCATGTTAATTATCTATCTCTTATGGTATATAGTTGGATAAAAAGATAATGGAGTTTATGTAGGTCTGAGGATATAAGAGTTTAGGTTTTGAGAATCTAGAAAATGTTGTTTAGTCTAGGAAAATGTTTCAGGGTTGATAAATGCAAGAAAGATTGGAAGGTATAAGTAGGTGTTTTAAGGTATATGAATGTGAATTGTAATGATAGAGAAAAGTAATTTGAGGCATATTAAAAATGGGAGATATTTCAGATTTCTCTCCTCTCTCTGCTATTGTTGTGCTTATGTTATGTTGTTATGTTATGTTTCAGAAGTCCAGAGTTTTGACATTGACCAATAGAGTTTTGATAAGTTGATGAAACACTGATTGCTTATTACCCAGTCACAAGCTTGAGATTTTAATTGCCTTTTGGTTGTCTTCTGGAGATAGATTATGATATTTTTAATATTTGCCATTTTTGGGGTAGACTTTGGCATAGGAGTTAAAAATATTTTAAACCTAATTTTTTTTGGTTGCTTTGTTAAGGGAAGTACAAGCATCCAGAGTTCGGCACTAAAGCCATTGACATATTTCTGCCTAACTTTCCAATGTAACATGGAGGTGGGGACTAAAAGTAAATGCTAAGAAGAACTGATAAAAAGTAGCCAAGCTCCTTTGGTGGCTGATTACCAACAACAGGGCCCATAGTTAAAATGTTAAGAGTTTCAAACGATGGACACATTTAAGTTGTTTATAAAGGTTACAAAACAAACAGCTAAGAAAAATTGATATTCATTCCTTGGATGCAGTTTTACCTGTTATTTACAAAATGTTTCATGAAATCAAAAAACCATGAGACCTGAATCTGACATAGCTCAAACAGACCCAAGATGAGTTTTTCCCTGGTCTTGGGATTCCTCACTTTTCCCATTTATTAGACAAATTTTAATTTCTGTTTCTAGTTTGAATTTGTCTCAGCAGATTTTCACCTGGCTGAGACTGTAAGCTGAGATCGGAACTTGCTGGAAGCTGACACGATTGCTCTCTGCCTCTTCAGATGGATCAACTAACCAGATGTTTCTGAGGACTGCCCCCACTGCCCCACTTTAGTTGACATTTTAGCCTTCCTAGCCCCTGATGTCAACGGTCCTACTGTCAGTGCTGAAGCAATTTCAGAAGACAAGACCACCGGCCCAAAATCCCACCTACAGGCTGAAATGCTAGGTCAAAGGGGGCTCCCTGACATTAGCTATTATTTTGGGGACCTGCTTAACTGGAGATATATTAGGCAAAGACTAGGGACTATACAGTTAATGATAATGAGAGCCCAGTACCACCAGCTTGGAGATGACCTTGAACTGTGAGAGCCCAAGATTGGCCTCTTCAGGTACATGAAAAGGAGGAAAAGAAGAGTTTAAGTTAGCCTGGGTATAGTTGGACTGAGTAAAGAGCCATCTTGACTGGGAGCTGAAATATCACAGAATGTACACTTGGCAGAGAAAAAAGTTAACTCTCCTAGCTACAGCCTCCAGGAAATAATACAGAATAAATGCTTCATAGAAAATAGAGACAATCTCCCTGGCAATAATCAATAAGAATCGGTTGGGAATCGGGTGGGAAAATTCTCCCCAATGTTTCAGATATGGTTTAGAAAAATAGCCATTGTGATTATATGCCTTAGCCATTGTGATTGTGTGCCTCAGAAATGGTCACCCCGCCCTGCTAAACTTCACCCAATTCTGTAATGCCAAGGCTTGTGCCCCCGCTGCTTGTTGCCATGGAAACCCCCTGCTCACAGACTTTCCCTTTAAAAATCTTGTTCACTCAGAGTTCGGAGTCCCACTTCTCTACTGCTTTGTCAGGGAGACTTGGGTCCCGAGTTCGATTGCTCTTGTAATAAAGCTCTCTTGCTATTGCATCAAGTCTTCTCCTGGTGGTCTCTGAGGGTCCCGTGAACCTGGCATTACAAGTGCACTTGCTGGCTCTGTGGGTTGACTCTTCTGAGCCTGATTGAGAATAAAGTTTGTCTTGTCCAGACATGGTGTCAGCTGCATTGGTGGTCTCTTTCCTCTCCACCCAGAACTTATTCTTAACATGATCTAGTATGCAGTTCACACCTTTCTTGTGAGACATTCTGACTAAAACTGTTTAACTTGGATCACATCAAGTTCACATCCCACTTCCATTTCACAGAAAACGACACTGAGGAAAAGCTAAGCACAAGACACAGTAAGACCATGGAGAATGATCAACAGCCAACTCTTCACAATGCTTTTTTCATGGAGGGATTACATTTTTAAAATGAACGCACAGTAATGTCTCAGAGACTCTACAACACCCAGACTTTTCCCTAAAATCTCTGTTTTCTGGGGTCACTGTCCAATCTGGCCTCCAACTCTTACCTTCAGGAATATTCCTTCCCAAACCACCCAAGTAGCTGAACTATGAGCTTGCCCCACTGTGCCTCTTAAAACCTTCTAAAAGCATTCACCTGTTACATATTGCTCACTAGTATAAAATTGAATTTGTGGAGCTTAAGTTGAAACAAGCACACAATTTCACTTTGGAATATTACATAGATAACCATTTTGTGGTATTTGTGTACTCTTGCTTGTTTGCTGTTGTTGGAGACATGTGTAGACCTGGCTGTCCTGGACTTTCTTTGTAGACCATGCTGGTCTCGAACTCACAGAGATCCGACTGCCTATGCCTCCCGAGTACAAGCATTAAAGATGTGCGACACCACATCAGGCTTGTATACTCTTAATAAGAAAATCATTACTAGTGTATGGATTTAGCTTTGTCATCCATAAACTGAGATAGAGTCTAAAGAAAATGGTCTCATGACTATTTAAATTTATGCCTGGTATGTACATTACTTGTATAACACTTTCATTATTTTAAATAAATGTGATTGCTAAGAATGCAATTTCAATTTCTTTTCTAGTAGAGTAACCATCTAAGAAATAGATCACACACCAGAAAATGGCAGAGTTGATGAATGAGACTGACTTGACAGGTACACTTCCATTACTGAGCTAGAGGACTCGAGGGATAAATCTGAGCGCTGTCAAACAGTGCTTCCCAAACATTAGGGCACATACTAACCACTGGGGTTAGGCATGATTTAAAATCTGATTCAGTAGGTCTGGAATGGAATCCCACAAGTACAATATGCTCAGGTCTGGTGCTGCTGCTGGTGTGGCTGCTGGTAGTCTACATGAGAGTAACAAGGCTGGGTGTGTAAAGAACGCACCTTCGCTACCACGGCTAGCTCAAACTTCACTGATTGTTGTTGTTTCGAGGCAGGGTTTCTCTGTGTAGCCTTGGCTGAAACTTTATCTTTTAATGGTCAATTACTGCAGTAGCACTCTTCTTACTTGACAGGCGAGAAGAAGGCTCGAGGTCACAGAGTGTGAGAGTAGGACCCAAATGATTCTTGGGTCTCAGAATAACTCAATTTATAGGCAGATCTAAGAATTCGGAGCAGGTTCAGAACTATTTTCGGTAGCATTCAGTTTCTGGAGTAAACAGAAGTCGGGCTTCCCTGTTCAGAGAGGTGAGCAAGAAAGGGACCCGCTTTGCAGGTGCCCGGACCTTCTGGGGTTCCTGACCCGGTTAACACGCACAACCTTCCGTTTGGGGGCCGGTCCTCCCGGTGGTCTGCAGAGCGGCGTGGGGGCGGAGCCTGGGCGTGAGAAAGGTTCCGGGCGGCCCGTACCACTGCGCGCAAGGGAGGGTGGTTCCTCGGGGCCGCCGCGTCGCGCTCGGCGCCCAGGAGCGAGGCCGACGCGCTCCTAGCCCGACCCTGCGCAGCCCGGTCGGGTGCCGATCGCCAGGGGTGCGCTCTGCCCCACGGCCCGCCGCTGAGCTCTTCCCTCGGCCCCTCGACCGAGTGGAAGGCCCCGGAAATGGGGGCCAGCCTGAGCGTGCGGCCGGCCGTCCCCACCTCCGCTGCCCCGCGCGGAGCGTCCCCGCTCGGCGACCCTTACCAGCTCTTTGGGAGGCTTCTCCTGGGTTTTTCCAAACAGCCCCATGACGAACTGAACCCCGCTTAGCCCTTCCGACTTTCCGTTCCCTGCGCACAGGCAGGTCACGGACAGCCGCCTGGGCGGGGCCGGGAGGAAGGGAATCGGACGCCCTAAGAAGGGCGCGGCGGCAGCGGGGGCTGTGCGCACGCGCGCTGCGCAGGCGCAGAGTCAGGTTGGGTGGGGCCCTACCGTCCGGTGACACCATGGCGCCTATTGAGGGCGGTTGTGTCAAGTGTAGCAGTAACTCTCTGAGGTATTTATTGGCACCCCAACTTGCCAGTTGCTATAGAGCGCGTATCTCGGCGCAGTCACGCCTACTTGCCACCGCTTCCCAGATCTTTGCGGGCGGCCGCTCTTTATGTCCCGGAGGCACCTCCCGACTGCAAACCTGCTCGGAAACTTGACCTTCGTCCTTCTCGTTTTTTGGGACGTCTCAGAAGTCCCGGCTGTGGTCTGACGCTGAAGCCTTAAAAGAAAGGGAGCTAGGCATAACGGAGTATAACGTTTGTTTCACTCGTCAGAGTTGAAGCTAACTTCTAAAGAAGCGCTAACAAAAGACTTAGGTTCTATACCTAGCAGAGAAGTGGGTTCATAGACAAGGAACTGTGTAAGGGAACTTGAGTTCCCTGGAAGAGCAGGAAGCGCTCTTAACTGCTGAGCCACTTCTCTGGTCTCATCTTACCTTTAAAAGAATTGCGAAATCTTTAAAACCCTATTTTATTCACAGAAACCTCAATGATAAGTAAATAGCAGGACAGAGGCAACCTGGACCATGGTTTAGTTCCTCCAGGAAGAAATCCGTCAGTGTATCTTACAGTTGAATTTGTATATGTTCTAGATTTTGTATCACAGCTTTCTATAAATCGTAATATGACCACTGGCGGTGGGGATTTCCACCTCCCATTTTGGCCAAATTATTGATACGTCCATTTTTCTTTACCAATTTCTTTAATTTATTGTTTGAGGATTTCATACATGATTGTAACATTTTGTTCAAATCCATTTCCCCAACTCCTTCCTTGGCCTTTACTGATTTTTGTTTCCCTATTTATTTTAAAATACATAGGAAATAAACTGACAGACTTATGAACCCATCTATGACCCCCTTTCGCCATTTTAATTTTCGCTTTCACCAGGATGGGCACCAGACACCAACACAAAGCCTCTGTGCCTGGCTGTGCTGCCTCTTCAGGTGGATGTTGAGTTCTTTCTGAGCCTGGGCCTTCCTCGTGTTTTGTCAGTGGTCACTTGGTTTGCTCTGAACTGGTTGGATACCCTGTCATTTTGTTTTCAGCGCATGCAGTTAAAGCATTTGTTTACTTTGCTTTCAAAGCACTTGTTTATTTGCTAGCAATTTGGCCTTTTTCTCCTGCCACTCTGCCAACAACTAATTCTATTTGCCAATAGAAAACTTGCCTCTTTTAATTTAAAAGGTCTATCAGTGCCTGCTCATGAAGTCATTGAAGAAGAGAGGTATTTGTTCCCTCTAGGCTAAAAGGGGGATGGGGCCCAGGTTCATCTCCCCACCACATGCAATAGCCTCAAAGAGAAGCCAAGAAAACAAGTCCCAAGTCTGGTTAAAAGGAGTCATAGGGTTCAGCTGGGAAGACACCATAGGGATGACTATAATGTCTGCAGCCCTCTGTGCTCCAATGAATGTACAGAATAAATCTGAGACACTGGAAAGAACTGACCTGGGGGTAAGACTCATCTGAGCCATTATCATAATCTGTCCAACTAGCATAAAGGATTATAATTTTCAGGAAAAAAATACACTAAAATGAGAAACAGAAATGCAAAGAAAGAGCACATATTTGGATAAAAGCTGCCATTTTAACTTGAGGTTTACATGTGATTACTTCATTAGTTTAAAGCAATTATTTTAAAAACTGAGGAATGAGAGAACATGATAGTCTTTCCTGACTTCTTTTCACTCTAAACTAGGAGTCCTAGGCAATAGAACTAAATACCAACAGACAGGCTACACTAATTAACATCTAAAGGTATCTTTAAAAAAAAAAAAAAAGATGGGATGCTAAATGTAAGAGATTCATAGCAAAGGTTTGGGATGTTGTCAAAATTGTAGAGCTAGTGAAGGACAAATTAATGAGAAAATTATACAATGTGTCAAACCTTTCACAAATTTCTCATTGTTCAGTATAATTGAAATGTTTAAATCTAGTTTCTAAACTGGAAAAAAATTATTTTAAATGTTGCCCCTAAAATTCTCATTTTTCACTCATTAAATTTTTATGTTTAGTGTGGAGGATGTGCGTGTGTGTGTACGTGAGTACTCAAGTGTGTGAGCACACTTATGGGCTAGCTCTTTACTTTGTTGTTTCTGTTATTGAGCAGAAGCTCTTTCCATTGTATGCAAACAATTTGCCAACATTTACATTGTTCTGCATCTCTTAGTTTTTTTACATATTTTCATCAGTGTCAATTTAGCTACATGATTTTATAGAAAAATATATAATATAATAATTTAATTATTTCCCTGCTGTATGACATTATTTCCATTTTTACATGACTAAATACTGTTCAGAGTGCTCCACACAGCAAACTGGAATATTTAGAATAGGTAAATTCCTGAGCACACATGGAGCATATGTTATGTAAACATGTTTTTGTTTTAATCCCAGTTTTTAAGATTTATTTATTTATTATGTATACAGTATTCTGCCTGCATGTGTGCCTGCAGGACAGAAGAGGGCACCAGATCTCATTACAGATGGTTATGAGCCACCATGTGTGTGCTAGGAGTTGAACTCAGGACCTTTGGAAGAGCAGACAGTGCTCTTAACCTCTGAGCCATCTCTCCAGCTCCACTGTCCACAACTCTTGACTTTGATTGTTCTTAACTTTTTTAAAAATTGTTCTTAGCTTTGTGCTCTGGGAGGGGCATGCTCTTTGCCAGCTGCAGATAGTTTAATTCTA